GTGCCTTATCTAAAGACTAAGATCCATCCACTTGGGAATCTGCAAGAAGTGTGGTCTGAAAGCAATCCCGCGCTTGCGAAGTTATTCTGTTCAGGAGGTCATCACGAATGAGTACGTTAAAATCAGAGTCGATATGCGAGTGAGAACTGCAATCAGAATGAAAGCGGACCGACCGAATATCATGATACACGATAAGAAGCGATGCGAAGCAATCCTGATTAAGGTTGGCATACTAGTCAAAACAAGTTAACAGCAGTCGAGACCGAGAAAAAGAGAAATTATGACCTGCTTGCTAATAAGCTTGGATCAGAGATGAACTGCAGGACCAAAATAATTCCGTATGTGATGACTTGGGATGGGGTTGTGACGAACTTCCACAAGCGCAGTGCGAAGGCGATCAGTATATCTGATCACGTCGAGGCATATATTTAGTCGATAGTACTCAAGAATATGCTCGAAAGCATCTCATTCGATGATCCCTACGGATTCCACGAGAATGGAGCAGCTGAGACCAACGCAACAAATCTGAATGCGGGACAAGTACAGCCAGAATGTAGAAACTTTCGGTGTGATCTTCAAAAATGAGATAATTTCTTTAGCAATATCTCTTGCTCTTTCTTTTATACAATTCGAAAGACAATTACTGCTATCTTATGTAATTAATAAGTTTGATAAATTACGGCAACAGCTAGCATTCTCAAGAAAACACTAAGAAATAAACATCCAATAATATCAGAATCAGTCATTTTGCGCTTAATTTTCCTTCACTCATAACTATATATGTGAATCTAAAAGCTTCTAATATCTTACAAGAGATTTAACTGTTTGTAATTTACGATAAATTATAACCACAGCTTTATTTTCAAATTTCACACCATCAGTGCTTTCATTAAAAACTATGTTTAGAACTCAAGCACTGACAGTAATGCATTACAATGTTACAACATTGTTTTACAGTACTATATTCATTGATTCACCAATATATTCTCACTTAACTACATTGATGTCAGTGCATTTGCGATAAGTTTATGATAAGATTTTCTAAATTTTAGGCTTTAAAAGTGAAATGCATTCAAATAGCTTGCGTGTCATCTCTATCTTTGCGACATAAAACCTGCAAACAATATATATGATCACTCTTTTTTTATGGAGTTTGAGTAAAACTATTAAATTTTTGTTAATTCTTATTTGTAGCGTGAAGTAATACTTATTTTGTTGATAAAATTGATAAGAGTTGGTTATTAGTTTTGGTGGTAAAGCTTTAAAGACTAACGAAAACGTTTTATGTTGAAGAAGAGTTGAATGATAAATTCGCTAAAGTAATACATATCAAAGTTCAAAGGTGATTCCAATTCAGTTCAAAGTAATTCATTTGATAAATCTTTGTAGTATATTTATTAAGCTTATTACTTTGAAATTGGAAATGGCACTTCCATCTACACGAAATGCTTCTTTTCTTAATACTGTTGCCGCAAATTCTGCTTTTAAGTCAGCTGATCCTGAAGTTTACTGACATGAATATTCATAATATCGGGACAAATTGCATATTCGCTGTAAAAGTTTTGCCTTCTGCCACAGAAATTTATCAAAATTATTAAAATAATATCATACTCAATTAGCTAGCAAAAAAATATTAAATCTTTTATCAACTATTTAAGTAAATAACTTATTCGTTAAAGTGATTAATTTAAGTATCAGATAAACCCAACCTAAATATTCATGTCCTTCTTTATCAACAATTAATACACATGGCGCTGCAAATCCAATATGTACTGGATACCACTCTTTGGAACCAATTTTTGCTGCTTCAGCGTATGGTTGCCAGCTGTAATCGAAACCAGCTGCAGATGGTGGAATTTGAACCAGTAGTTGTAATGAACCGATAACATGGCTCAAGAATGCCATTTTTCTACTACAACAGTACAGTCGATTATTAAACAACGAATGAAATTTAATGGATCTTCGGTACACAAATAAACCTAATAAGATAAATATCCAATTTTAAGTACCCAATTACGTGTATATACATAGGTCTAATTAATCAAATTTGAAGTTGTGGACGAAAGATTGTGCTTGTTATTAGACGAAACACAGCATTTTCTAGTAATTTCTGTTTCTATTCTTTTCTCTGCTCTACTTCTGTCTGTTATGGTGATGTTATGATGCGAAGATGATATAATTGGCGGAAATACCAGTGGAAGCAGTTGCGACAACAATCGTAATGGTATGGACAACCAACGACGCCAGAACGGTAGAAATGGTAGCAGTACGAGAGAACATTCCAGCATACCAGAAGATCAGTAAACTAATGGTTGAGAACGAATCTCTGAAGGACCTTCAACATCATAGGCGACTTCCAAGAAGCAAAAAGGAACGACAGATCATAACGACAATGGTCATGCCATTCCTTGTTGCAGTACTTCCGAAGCAACAAAGACGAAACAAAGGAAGAAAATGAAGATTAATACAAATGGAACGAATGTAGCGGAAGAAAAGCTCGTTGAAAGACGAGAGGAAACAGAAAAGAAGAAGGCTGTGTGGTCGTACAGTCAGAATATCAGAAGTCCGTAAGGAAATGAAGGATGAACGTAGAAAAACCGTATTTGGAATCAGAGTGGAAAATAATGAGAATGAGAAAGCAGATGAGGTTGAGAAAAGCTCCGTGAAAGATGTAGGAGAGCACTCTGCCAGCTTACCCACCAAGAACCAGTAGGATGATTACGTTTGAAGTTATCTTCGAGGAATCGTTTGAAGTTATCTTCAAGGAATTCAGCATTTCACCTGGCCAGCCGCAAAGCAGCTGGCCAGGTGAAATGCTGAAGGCGGTTCTTGGCCATTTCGGAAAGATGCCGAGAGGAGGATGGCCGTTGTGCAGTTCCCTGTATTGCGAGAAATTTGTGTGTGCAATTAGCCTTCAGGAACTGAAGAAACAAGCGAATGCTGCAAATATCAGTATTGCGGGATGTCCATGTTCGCAGAAACGGTTTTTGGAGGAGTCAGCAAAACGTATCAAAGCACAAGATACGTACTTCCAGAAAAACACGCTGCACCAGTCTAAGGTTTATCTCGATGTGCAAGAGAAATATTTAGTGCTGAATGCAAGAAGAACAAGGACGTGCGATGGACCAAACAAAGTGGACGCGAAAAATCGAAAATTCATCATGGCAATGTGGATTGTAGAGTTTCTGAGAAGCATCACCTCCAGATGGTCAGGGACATCGAAAAACAATGAAGAAGCCATAATGGAGAGAAAAATGCAGCGAGAAATCGTTCAAGGTGACAGCCTTTCTTCGCTGCTGTTCGTTTTATGTATGGACCCGTTGAGCCGTAGGCTTAATATCAGACACCTGAGGTAGAAGTTCCTACCGATAAAGGAATGCATGTAAGGAACCATTCACTATTTGTGGATGATCTTAAAAGGATATCATGAAAGCTATGGCCGAAGAAGTCCAGAACTTATTTGAAATAGGGTTAGAGGTGAATCCAACGAAGGCAGCCACTGATACTGAGGTATGTGCTGATAAGGCGGTACACTTGGAAGAAACTCAAGGGTATAAATACCTTGGCCATAAGGGTAGCGCTATGACCCGAGAAAGCTATGATAAAGTGCGGGCAGAAACTTTGGCAAGAATTGAACGACTAGCCAAAACTGCACTAGACGGCAAGAACTTTATCAAGGCAGTAAATGAGCACACCGTAAAAGGATTAATGAACTGTTATACTGGGATGCTCAAACTGGAACCAGAAGACTTCCGAACGACTGACCATGATACCAGACAGTTACTAATTAAGTACATCCAACCTGCATGTTTGGAGAGACTGTACCTGACAAGGGACAAGCTAGGACGTGTGCTTCGTTGCGTCGAACAAAGAAGCGAGCTTATGCTTCTGCAAGTTCATACCATACTTGTAGAAAGTGCGCTCATATCTTCCAGGAGGGCGGCAATTTCGAAGTAGGAAAAGACTCACAACACGTACTTGGCAGTTATTGTGCCCTACCTTTAGACTAATACAACTTTGTACAAAATCCAACCGTCGAAAACGTATTAGCAGCTCAGAAAGCACTCCTGTATAGAGAAGAAAACTCACCATGCACAGCTATACAAGATGCGGACGAATAAAACCTCGTCCACAGTTGGTTCATCAAAATGGCTGCGATACGGCAACATTACCCCGCAAGATGAGGCACGA